GAGGAAATAATCAATATAAACTTTGAGATATCGTAAACACACAGATAGTAGTTATACCGGACGATTTGAAATTGGTATTCCCAAGAGGCTGTGTGGAGTGCAGATATATATATGTGCACGCGCATAAAGCTTGCGAGCAGTTTACACAACTTATGCCATTATTGCAGCGCACACATACACACGGGTACACATAGGAGCTATTCTCTTCTCTTCTCGCAGCAGCAGTAGACACAGCCTTGAACTGTTATGCTTATTGCACACGGCAAATGTTTGACTATTGTGCAGACCACTCGGCTCTTCGAGACTAGCACGTCGGGGAGAGGGTGATGAAAGGTTTATTTATAACAAATCCTCGGAGGAAATGAAGCTCGCATATATACATACGCTTTACAACGGCGTCGAGTAAATTTGACTTGCGCAAACGTCGCTCGAGCTTGACTCGCTGCGAATTTTTTCCAAATACAATGATTCGCATGCGTAGGGTAAAATTGTAAAAACTGATTAATATTTCACGATCGAGGGGGCGAAGATAATGCCACAAGGACAATTGATTTTTTCTTCCGTAGATATGATCAGTGAGTAGAATTTTAAAGCTTCATTTTGACTCGAATCGTTGGAACTGTATGCCAAAGTCATGATTTTACAGAGATGAAGAGAAGGAAAATAGGGGGAGTATAAGGATACGATAAATATTTTATCGTCCGACCATTCGAATAAAGCTAGATCTCGGTGTAGCGTGAAAACAAACCCGCGCGCCCGACAATAACCTCGCCCCGAAGTTACTTCAGCCCCGCTGCTGCCTCGCGATATATACCAGACGCAGGATTCATTCGAAAATACACACAGTACGGACATTTTTCAGCGAAACTTTTTCTATCTGTAGATGTTTCCAACTTGTCGAAATTCGCAACGCTGTTTATCATTGACATGATCTCTCTCTATCAACAGTCGAGATAGCATCCGTAAAATAGATTTTTTTAATATTCCTCGCATGCGTGTACGAGTGTGTGTGTGTGTATACGCGAGCAAAGTTCAGTTATAGTTTTAGTTTACTCAAAGAGAAAAGCCAGAGAGCTAGATACGAAAACCAATTTTTTAGAAAATCACCGAGAGATAAGGAATGCGCGCAGTGTGACGTTACTCCCAAGCGCGTTTCACATACACTGCAGTACTGCTCTCTGTGCTGCTTCTCTCACTCTCGCTCTTTTACGCACGAAAAAAACAAATTGAAATAAAAAAGAAGCGGTGTAAAAAAAAAAAAAGAAAAATACGAGCGAATCCCAATGAGATTTTTCGCAAAGGTAGGAGAAAAACGTGTGCTTTGATATATAGATACGTACCTAGAATTCGAGTCATGATATCTCGATTTTTTCATTACGATTCAGTCAAAAGGAAAGTTCGTGTGATTGAAAGATCGCGGAAGGAAGATTCGAATGGAAAACTCTTTTTCTGCGGGCTTTTTTATTTATGTGTACTTAAACCCGTTCAGGGAAGACGCGAATAGACTTATTTTTCCGCGCGCATTCGACTTTATTTACATCGAAATAGAAATTATTTCAAGCAGATTTTTGTTAGTACACTGTAACGCTGCGCGAATTTGAATAAACATTTTTCTCGTTGCTGTTTCAGCTCGACGGTCTAGGGAATTATACGTATTTACCGGTGAGTATTTCAAACGTATGAGAAGCACTTGTACAACGCCAAGATTTATCTTTTGAACTTCGTGCGTTAACTCGCTCAACGTTAAACTCGAGTTTAGATTTGATTGCGAGCGCGAGATATGTTTGGTCTTTCGTGGATTAGGCAGTCGCTGAATTAAATGCGCAATTTTATTTATATATTAAATTAAGCCGATTTGATGCGATTATGTCTCGCGTGGATAAAAAAAAAAAATAAGTCATGCTCTATTGAAACGGTATAATAGCGGTACTTTTATTCGGTAAGATAATGGAAAAGCTCAGCACAGACAATTTCTGAACGCACACTCACACACACGCGCTCGTGGAATGGGAAAAGTCCAAAAGCAGGGTAATTTCCATTTTTTTTTTCTTCTCAGCAAAATCCAAGCGAAGCTATACAAAATCCAATGGCTGTATTACGACAATGACCGTTAGATGAAAAAGAGAACGGAAAGCAAGGAGAGAGAAAGAGAAAGAGCGAGACGGGTTAGGACAAAGATTTATCGCGGTGCCAAAGTTAATGGACTAATTTTGCTATTTCTTTATTTTTTACAGACGATTTCCGACGTACAACGTACATTGCTCACGCGCACGCATACACACACGCGCGCGCGCGCATTTATCTAGACACAAAAGTGTTTGGCTAACTCAGAGAGTTTTTCTGACGCAGAGACTTGTTATTCCAGGCTCTCTGCCTGCCCAGATGTATCGAAACAAGCGGATTTAATTTTTTTCCCCCTTCGTTCGCTCTTTTTCTTACCGAAGAAAAGGACACTCTGTTTTACGACGAAACTGCATATTTTCGCTAATGCGATTATAATCGAGGAGGGATGAGAGAGAGAGAGAGAGGCAGAGAAGTGGGATTCCATGCGCAGGGAAAGGAGAAAAAGAAGGACAATCGTCTCTCTCTCTCGCTCCAACGAGAGATTTTTAATTGTGCAACTCGTTGCGAGAGAGCAGCCTCGAGTGGCTTTTTGTGTTATATATACAAATGGAGAAGAGAGCGAGAGGCTTATACCCATTGCCATGCTTGTTTTTCTATTATGTATGATGTTTTTTTGATTCAACACGCTCCTTTTTCCCTTTCTATCTCTCCCGCAGGAGACTTTTGCGAAGCTCTTTTCTTTTTCCCTCTTTCGCTTTCTTCATTCTCTTTTCTTTTACGCCTCGTTGGGCTTAATTCTGATCTAATTGTTTCTGCATGGAGGCCAACGAAAATAACAAAGATGGGCTTAAACCATTTGTAATTTGAATTTTTTTAATGGATATGTTTTTACGTACAAATTTCAGTAGAAAATTCTTCACCTTAATCCGTACTTTAAATCAATTCCATGGATCGACTCTTACCTGCAACAAAAAAAAGGGATCATTTCGTTAATTACGCAATACACGACTTGTGAGCAACATTTAGCTCAATATTGATTATTTAATTGAATGAATTGAGCACATGGAAACAATGCAGAATCGCTGGAAGTGTATAACGATCATGCATAGTACCCGGGAATTAATACCAGTTAATACGTTTCGTGTGCATTTATATGTATATGCACCAGATGTGTTGCTGTTGCATGGTGATTTATCGATGCTCGCTCGTGTAGTACGTGTGGGTCGATTTCGCAACTTCTGTTTGCTTATAATTGCGAGAAGTAAAATAAAAAAAAAGGGGGGTACAACTTTACGAGTGAGATATCTCTTACAGATATTACTGTTAGGAGAGAGAGAGAATTTATTGTTGCAATACTAGTTTAGTACAGTTGGATTGCAGTTCTTAGACACACGATATAACTCATTAATCGCATTATTCAAGTTTTTATTCTTCGCGCGATGTCGGTGTCGAACAGAAGTTTAGGAAACAGTATTAGACCTGGATAAATTTTGATGATTACACAATGTCGATATCTTATCGGTATTTCTGCTGACAATTAGAGTTGTTCTTAAGTTATTATAATTGTGTAAAAATTGTACTTCATCAACAGGTGGCAAAAAAAATTAAATCCTTCGTGAAACTTCAGATAATATCAATCGAAGACGGCGCATTACGTCCACGTCTTGAAAGTTTCCATTTTTAATTTCTGACGTTATTATCTCGCCAGATGTTAATGTTGATGGGCACTTCGATAAATGATGCAAATACGATTACGATTCATCGATGATGCAACTCACTTCTGGGCTAATTCTGTTGCATGCCAATATGCAATCGGCTTAGGAGATAATGCATTTGTTATTAGTTTAATGTGACAGGGTTATTTTCGTGCTCGCTTTATTTTATTTATAAGTCAAATTCGGTTTATAAGTATCTCCGTGTCTTTACCTTCAAAAAGGAAGTAGATCGTGCAATAAAGAGCAATCGATATTGCATCTTTCAAATTTCATACAATAAGTAATAAAAGCAGCTTACAGCTCGTTTTTAAATTTTCTTCAGAAAAAAAAAAATATTCAAAGCTTCTTTGCCAGACAAAAGATTCCGCGTATGAATATCGTAACGTTAAAGTTCGCCACTGAAGAAAACATCGGCTAGGTAACTTCACGCGCTCGCACATTCGTGTACACATATAGTTGGTCGGCAGCGAGGAGGATAAGAAGAAAACGAGATGGTGTGCGTGCGCGTCTGTCTGTGTGAGGCCAAGCGAGTGCATTCAGTCGTCGTGCGCGCTCGACTCCGCTGCACGAACACGAACGAAAAAACAAGAGACGAGAGAGAGATAAGGTGCGCGCAAGAGAAAGAGAGACGCTTTATTGCTCGAGAATGTGTGTGTGCGTGTGCGTGTGTGTGCAGTGCGTAGCAGCGCAGCGTGCGCGCAGCTTCTCCCTTTAAAACTTCTCCTTTTTTTTGGATTTATACTTCAAAGGAATTTATTATGTATCAAAAGATTTTTTCAAGGGTATTTATTGAATTTTTCGATCGGATATTTGGATTGATTTTGGAAGGGAAAACACAAAAAGTAATCGATTTTTGTTCTGACGATAAAGTTAAAAATTATTCAGTGAACTATGCTCAAATACTATTTTTTTCTTATTAAATTTCGATCATCAGATCTAGGTAGTGTGTAACTACTTAACAGCCATTACAAGTGATTTTCAATCCTCTTATAAAAAGAAATTGATGCGCTAAAAAGCGTAAACAGTATTGAAGCGATTCAGTTCTGGTAGATGTAAGTCGCGAAACAATGAAGCTTGTAGAATTTACGTCGAACAAAGCGCGCTAAAAAGTGACTAACATTGTATAATTGGGATCAAACTAAGGTGTTGATCCCCACGGAGGCACGGAGATTAACCTTTGCTGTTAACATTTTATTAGCTTACAATCAATAATGTGTCTTATTTTTCTTCAAAAACATATTTATTTTTTTAAACTTGAACATTGTTTTTACATAATGATATAACATTGAAGGAAATAATGATATTATTGTAGTTGAACATTTTCTAGATTAATCTTCCAAACATTGCATTCAATTATGGATGATACCTTTATGCAACGTATAGATGTGAACTTTGAGGGTAGCATTTGTTGCGAATGACTTGTGACATATATCACATTTTGGTGCGAGTTTACGATGAATTGAATCGATGTGTTTTTTAAGACCACTTTTAAATGAAAATGTCTTTGTACATACATCGCATTCATATCTGATAGGATTGTGCACGTTATTCACGTGGGCCTTAAGATTACCTTTAGTTGTGAATTTTTTCTCGCAAATATCACACGTATATGCGACATCATTGTGCATCGCATCAATGTGGATTTTAAGATTGCTCTTATATTTGCACTTTTTTCCGCATGTGTCACACATATGGGTGATACCATTATGAAAATGATTGATGTGGTTTTTAAGACTGGTCTTATACTTGAACTTTTTTCCGCAAGTGTCACATACATGGGTGATACCATTATGAAACCGATCGATGTGGATTTTAAGACTGCTCTTATACATGAAGTTTTTTCCGCAAGTGTCACATCTATGAGTGATTTTATCATGCACAGATGTGATGTGGTTTCGGAGATTACCCTTTGATGTGAATGTCTTGTGACATATATCACATTTTGGTGCGAGTTTACGATGAATTGAATCGATGTGTTTTTTGAGATCACTATTATTTGAAAATGTCTTTGTACATACATCGCATGCATATCTGATACGATTGTGCACGTTATTCACGTGGACCTTAAGATTACTTTTAGTTGTGAATTTTTTCTCGCATATATCACACGTATATGCGACATCATTGTGCATCGCATCAATGTGGATTTTAAGATTGCCCTTACTCTTGAACTTTTTTCCGCATGTGTCACACATATGGGTGATACCATTATGAAACCGATCGATGTGGATTTTAAGACTGCTCTTATACATGAACTTTTTTCCGCAAGTGTCACATCTATGAGTGATTTTATCATGCACAGATGTGATGTGGTTTCGGAGATTACCCTTTGATGTGAATGTCTTGTGACATATATCGCATTTTGGTGCAAATTTATTATGAACTGAATCGATGTGTGCTTTGAGATAATATTTATGTGAAAATGTCTTTGCACATACATCGCATTCATATCTGATACGATTGTGCACGTTATTCACGTGGGCCTTAAGATTACATTTACTTGTGAATTTTTTCTCGCATATATCACACGTATGTGCGATACCATTATGCACCGCATCAATGTGGTATTTGAGATGATCCTTTCGTTTAAATGTTTTTCCACAAACTTTACACGCGTGGATGCTATTGCTATGCATCGTCTCAATCTGTGCTTTGAGTTTATATTGATCGTCAGCCTTTTTTGTATTTCTGTTTTTTTTATCTCGTCCAATGAGTTCACACTCAAGTCTCAAATTCGATTCTTCAGCAATGCTACAAACAATTTCTTTTTTCACTTCCCCAGGGGGTTCTATTTTAATAATGTTTAGAGTTTTATCATCGCTATCAATTACATTCCCCAAGTGATTTGGAGAATAATCGTCAATTTTCTTCACTGCTAATAAATCAAAGTTGGGCTTGACGTCTTCACATTCAACAACTATTTCCACTTCATTATCAAGTTTACTTCCTTGATTTTCTTCACATTTTTGAAGCGTATGGTTCTGTTTGAAAATCAAAGCAATGTGAGAATTTTCATAGTAAAAACAACAATTACAATAAATGTAATCAAACTTACTGAATTTTCTGGTGAAAATGATAACAGTTGAAAGTTACTAAGATCGGGCTTCTCGTCAATCATTTCATTATCATTTTCAACAAGCGAGACATGACTAACCTCCTGTTTCACTCTGAAATAACCTCAATAAAATCAATTTTGATGTTGTAATATTTTTACAATTTCATTCTCATGAAGTAAAAATTACCTAATGGCACAATTGAGTAAATCACTGGATTCCATATTTTTCACTTGAAATTTCGATAACAATTAACCTCTCCGTGATGATTTCACATTTCGAACTAACCAAATACGAAAATACCGGCAAGGATCGATGTGCTCTCTGCTCGCTATATTTTGGAAAACTGTATCTGTGTGAAGAGCTCCAGCTCATGCTCGATCAGCTCCGCGCACAGTCCTCCTTGTAGCCTAGCGCTGCTATGCGGTATGCACGGCAAATCACCTCGCTAAGTAACACACACCCGCAGAGGTCACGCGCGACGTAAACAACAAGCGAGCTTATGCTCTTCGTCAATCATTCCGTACATTACAGTTTAAATTTCATCGTTCGAATTGGTGAATAAATTTTTTTTTCAAAACAGAGTAAAATAGGCACGAACCGTATTCCTTCATGCGCGTGGATAAATTTTTATTTTCTCAGACCAAAGAATTAAAAGTGCCTTTTTTTCTCTTTCAAGGAGAGCTAATATTTAACGAACAATCGCATGCTGTATTGACGTGGGAAAACGTTACTTCATGACGGACAGCTACGCGAAGTACAAAGTCTACATTTTGCAACGCGAGTATAAAATTTCACGCGCAACAAATGAAAGAAGTCGAAGATCCGCACGTGAAATGGAAGCGAATGGGAAGAATAGCTGCAACTTTCGTATATAATCTTCGCGAATCGAGATCGAAACCATACTAATTACTATATGGCTTTTCATCGAGGATAGACACATCTGTTTCTTATATCAATCATATGTTGTATCGAGTATAACGATACAAAATACCGAAAAGCGACTAAATTGCCAAGGCATCTCGAGGTAAAAACTGCAGAATAATTCGGGCCCGAGTAGTTCTTTCTCGAGGTGCATAAAGCGCCGTAAAAAAGTGTATATCCATTAAAAAAAAAGGGACAAAAGTAACGCAGTCGCTGCACAGTACATACCCACGGATCGGACGCGCACGTGAACGAGCAAAAAAAAAAAACGAAGACAGTACAGCCTGTGCATAGGAGGACGCGCGCTTATACAGCTCGCCCAGAGCAGCGTGCGAGGATACTGCGAGATAAGAGATGCGCGCGCGCGCGCGCGAGGCAGCCGCGTAAAGGAGTGAAAAAGCAGTAATACCGGTCTGACGCGTTTCTCTCTCTCTCTCTTTCTTTCTCGTTCATTCTTTCTCCTGGCCTCCCTTGGCCACTACTACTACTGATTCTGCCTGGATCTGTATATAGGTACTACACTTTGTGTGCGCAGTGCGCGCTTAATTCCGCGGTGTGCAGCAGCAGGTAGGTAGGTAGGTTATACAGGCGCGAGTCCGTATAATATACGTACATTTACGGCCGCGGCAGCCCTGCACGATGGAGGTGCATCGTGCCCACATGCCTGCAGCCATGTACGCACGCAGCGGCAGCAACAGCAGCAGCTTTAAAAGGCCTGGAAGCTTTGGGATATATTTACATGTTTCGATCATGCGAGAGCCGTATAAACCGACGCAGTTACCTGCCCACTTTGTGAGAAATATGACGTTTATGTTTCGGAGCTTCCGGCTGGATTTATTATTATATATACCTGCGCTCGCGTCACGTAGCGTTCATCGGGAAAAAGAAGAAGACTCTCCGAAGCTGTATACGAGAAAAACGAAAAGTGCTCGACTCTGCTGTATCGCATCGTATTGTTGCGTCATCGCCGAGGCATCGAACGATATTTTTTCCTCTCCTTTTTCCGTGCGCTACCGATCGCGGATAGGACGCGACTGTAATGAGATAGGCGCGATTGTACGGCGGCGTTCAAAATTGAGAAATAATCCGAGCTGATGGCTATTATACAGCTGCGCGAGATATATATATATATTGCAAAATAAATTCAGGTGTCGAACGAGAAACTCACGACGCGAAAAAAGAAGAAGGAAACGTATAGGATCGACTGCATTTCGGACGAGTGCGCCGCGCGCATCGTAGGAGTAGATGCTAAAAATGCTAATAAAGCGCGGGCTCGGAGCTCTCCAGCTCGAAACTTTTCGATAATAATTCGTACTTACGTAACTGGGCACACAGGGGCGGGCGGCGGCAGCGCTTTATGCAGTTTGCTGCCCCCTCTGAAATCTGAACTGTATTACACACGCGCGCGCGCGCGCGCGCACACACACAGCCAGAGCGAGTTGCTCTCCGCGTGCGCGCAACAGCGTCGTCTCTGGAATTCAGAAAACTAAAAGCTCTCTGGCTGGCGAGCGTGCAAAAACTTTTCCGCGTCGCGAAATCGACGTCAACTTTTGCGCGAAATGCTACGTGACCCGTGTGTTCGCCGAGAGAGAGAGAGAGAGAGTGAGTAAAAAAAAAAATTGCGCAGAGAAAAAATATTTTCAAATCAAGTGCACAACGACGCGATATCGCGACTCGCTGTATAAACCTATATATTTTTCTACATTTTCAATTTAATTTTCCTTTTTCAATTATAATCGAAAACGAGATCGTTATCGATCCCGAACTAATACGTGTACGTAAATATACAGCTTTAACCCGGATGAAGCCTAGTCGCGGCGGTTCGAATCAATTAAGCTCGGAGGAATATGCCACAGCTACGGGCAAAAGTATCAATGGGCTCGTTACGCGTTGTTTGTTTGTCGAGAGAGAGAGAGAGAAAGCGAAATATTCCCCGGGTCCTCTGTTTATATATATAGTAAACGGACGAATTTAGTGAAGCAGTTTAAAACTCGGGCAAACTTTGCATTCCAATATCTGCTGCTGCTCTACTACTACTACTACTACTGCTACTACTACACGAACGACAAACTCCGATGTGTATACGTATATATAACCGACGTCGCGCTGATTGGCTGAATTTCAATAAAGTTAATTGGTAGCGAAAACTTGGTCAAGTTCAACGCGCGCGGAGCAAACGGGGCGATCCTCTCTCTCTCTCTCATCGTTAACTAGCAGCAGCTCGACCTATAGCCGGAGATCCCCGCCGAGGATTAATTTTAAGCAGCTTGTAAATATACGTATATAGCTGATGCCCTCGCGCGCAGGAGGATAATAATAACAACAACAACGATATCTTTTTAGAGAAGAAAAAGAGAGGGAGAGAGAGAGAGAAAAACATCGTTCGTACTTTCAGTGTGGCTCTAAGGCTTGGACAATTAAAGCCACCTTTAAACTTGTGTCGTCTTCTCGCAGAGGGAGAGAGAGAGGCGGAGGCGGCGCGTTAGGTCCGCAAAAGTTTGCAACTTGCGCGCGTGAAATCGGCTAAAAGTCGAGCGTAAACAGTTGCGCACCGCAAAACTTGTACACGCGTGTGTGTGTGCGAGTGGGTCTTATACGATTCCGCAGCTACGTCGAGGCTTCTCGAGATCTGTATAAATCCACGTGTGTTTAGATGTGTAAGTCAGTCCCCCCCCCCCCCTTACCCTCCGCACGCACATATACAGCTCGAGGGGCTTTGAGGCTGCTGCTGTAACTGTTACCGACTCCGGCATTGAGGCAGCTCAGCGAGCTTGCGAGCTTTCGGGAAGCTCTCTCGTCTGTACTATGGTTTATACTTCGGCTCGCGTGCTACATGAGGCGTTTTGCGCGAGAGTGTGTGTGTGTGTGTGTGCAGCTACTGCACACGAGGAAGAAGTTTTAGCCAAGCTCGACTTTTTATTGTTTATTGTTTATTCGAACTGATGTCGAATCGAATTAATGCATAATTCGACATAATCGATTGCTCCTATTTAAGTCTCATTTGAAAAAAAAAGGAATTTGCGTAAATCCGATTTTTTCTACTTTTTTAAGATTATGAGTTATTAACTTCAAATTTAATACTTTAATCAAATTACATATTGTTGTAAGTATTTTCTGAGACGTCAAGGTGCTTTATCCTTATTTAGCGAAACTTCAAATGTTACCTGAGGTGCAGATAGATGGCGCGTGCCTAAATTTTTTATAAATCGCAACAGAAAAGTTTAAATTACAGGAATAAGAAAGAGACAATGGGCTACCTACTTGGTTTATTATTTCGCAATTCGGAATGGGTACAAAAAACTATTACTAGACCACTGCGCTCGAAGAAGTACACAATTCACATCTCCCGACGCGACATCGCATCGTGGTTTCATGTGGCAAGTAAAAAAAACTGATTAAAAATCGCATGTTGATCAGAGCAGATCGTCAAAGCTACGCGAGGGCAGTGCAATTAGTATATAGTTTGCTCCCCCTAACTTATACTTCGTCCATCCGAGAAGATGCGAATTTTGATGAACCACCTCTCGCGGCAGCCGCTACCACTACTTCGCGTTACAGCTGCGAATCCTGAAATTTGCACTTTCTTCAATTTAGCGAGTTTTCGCTGGCGCGGAATACCATTTTCAGCTCGAGAAGTGTGTCAGTGGCGGCGGCGGCGGCGGCGGCGCAAAGTTAAAATATTTTAACACTAATATTGTTTACTTTTGTGAGCAGCGGTATAGTAGAGGCTAGGGCACGTGGCCGCCAGCAAAAGAGCTCTAAATAATTTCGAAATTTTACCGCGCGCAAAATTCTGAAATTGAAGCTCCGAACTTTTCGCGCGGGAGAGAAAGAGCCTCTCTTTCTCTCTCTCTGTTCCTGCTGCTTCACTTCTGTGCAACGTAGAACATTGCAAATTCGTTGCTCTTTACAATTTCCCAACAGCTCTATCGTATACAGTTGCCGTGTATAATACCCGTAAAATCTAGCAATAGCCGCGAGGAATAAAAATGATAGCGCGCGGCTCTCGCCGTCCATGTTGTGCTGCATTATTTGTATACACGCGCCGTTGTGCCACTGAACAGGTATACCACCGCAAGTCGTTAGCCCCTCTCAACAGTAGCAGCAGCAGCAGAAGCCAGTCGAATAACAATGGATGGAGGGAGGTTGCAGTCGACTCGCGATTCTGAACAATTTAATACTTATATAGCCCCGGTCGAGCGGCATTGAAAGCTGCTACTGCTGCTGCTGCAGTGCCGCTCATACAATATATAAGTTCCTCTGTTTTCTTGTAACAAATGCGGAAGTTCGGCGGGGGTGGCTCTCTCTCTCTCTTTCTATGTTAAGAAACGAGCCACGACGACGACTGTCCCACCTCACCCCCGAATTCGCTTCCAATTCAGCTAAAATGTTTAGAAATTGCGAACTA